TAGATAGGACGTCAACTACTCTCTCTCTCTCTCTCTCTCTCTCTCTCCCAATTATTTTATTCTTTCGCCAAGTCGTTAAATCGACTTATTAAAATTCTGATGGCCAGAAAATATTTCAAACATTCCAACCAAGACTTGACCCAGCACTCGTAAAAGAAATCATGGAAAGTACTCACCGAACATTGGCCAAGTGTGCCTTCTGGATCTGAGGTTGTGGTAGCCCCGCAGCTCGCCTATGCTCCCCTGTTCGGCCTGCATCTTGGCCTGTGCAGTTGCAGCGGCACTGGCGATCACGTGGTGCTGGTGAGCCGGTGCACCTGCCGTGGTGATGCTTCTGCGCGATCGCCAACCCGTTCTGCTGCCTCCACCGCCGCTCGGGGTTGGCGATTTCTTCTGGTACGGCCTACGGATCACCGCCCGCCAACGCGGTCCAATTTTACCAACCAAAGGTTGCACAGCCCGTGTAGGAGCTGTTTACTCCTCCGTGTCACGCGCTGTTTAATCGGGCGACGCTTCCCCTTTCGAACAATTCGTTCTGCTCGTCTCCTCGTTTTGGATCATTTTGGAACTTGGGATAAATGGGAGTGAGAAAGATTCCAGTTGTGTATTGAAACGAAGGTAAAAGGTATTATTTTAGGTTAGGATTTTGTAGCGTCCCAAGGAATGTGAAATTCTATGAATAGAGGGGAGATATATTTGATTGAAATTGTGTTGAGAGGAGGTTAAGGAGTTATTATTCCTCGAAATCCCGAAATAAAATCTATGAATCATTTTTCATTTTCATGGAAATAACACAGGGATTGGAAGACGTGGCGTTATTGAAAAAGATTGAAATTGGGTTATAATGGAGGATTAACCGTTGAAACGAAGTTGTTATTTTGTCAATGATATTTTCCATCCTCGAGAAGTCGAGAAAAAAGAATCTGTGAAGAAACCATTGCCATGGAAATAACACAGGGATTGAAGAGATGGTGTGAAAGTTATGAAAATAATAAAATTGTGTTATAATGGAGAACTAATCATTGAAAGGAAAGGAGTTAATCTTTTATCAATGATATTCTGGTTGCTCGAGAAGTGCAAAAAAGAAAATCTGTGAACCATTTCCATGGAAATAACACAGGAAAAGATGTGGTGAGGATTATTGAGAAAGAATAAAATTGTGTTATAACAGAGAGCTAACCGTTGAAAGGAAGTTAAGGTGTTTGTCATTATGTCAATAATGATATTTTGGACCAAGATCCTCAAGAAATCCAAAAAAGAAAATCTGTGAACCATTTTCATGAAAATAACACGAGGATTGGAAGAGACGGCTGCTGGCATATTTGCGATAAAGCGAGAAGATTCTCGGGTGTTAATGCCATCGAGGTCCTCGTTGATTAAAGGATCGTGCTTGAGAATGCATCGATGTGCCCGGCCCACCCATGAAATATTCATGAACTTCGTATAAAATTGTATCGCGCCTCACGATCGCTGTTAAGCATGTTATGCAAACGATTTCAACAAACTGTAACGCCACCAAGAATTTTAACCCTCCTCGAACTCGCTCAATCGCGGCTCCCTGAATTCTCCCCTCTTTAAATCCAACCCGTTTCAGGATTGGCATGGCCAGAAATCTGATACTCGATCTTCTTCTCAGGATTTTAGATGCACGTGGAAAATAAATAATCGAAACAACAAAGAAGAAACAAAATGGAATAGTTATCATTCTAGACATTTCGTCTATTCAGCTTGAATCTCAACGAGGATATGTCTCATCTACCCAGAGCTTAAAGATATTATTTAAAATATCTTGTCCAAAATAATAATGTAGATTAAAAGAAATTGACTTTTAAGATAGATATTTATCCTGATTGACTTCTGTATTTATTACTTGTGCAAATAAGTTCCTTTTTTTCTACGATCACAACGTCTGAATTCGAATTACTTCACCGCTCGTGGCGCCATCTGAAACAGCGTTCTTTCGTTTTCAAGAAGAGTCGCGATGAGATTCCAGTCCATGCAACGATTTCAAGCGATGCGACGCGCGAGAAGCTTAGGAAATCGGCCGTCGAAGCTATCGAAACGGTTTGCGCGCCTCTGGCAGAGAAGGCTATATCTCACGGAAAAAGTGGTAGCAAAGATTCAAAGCCGAAAATTTTAATTCGAAAGACGACGATCGTTCGAGTGCACCGAGAAAGTTGGACGACGCGATGCGACTTTTTGTGCAACTTGCGTGTTTTCAAATTGTCACCACACGTTCCCTTGTATACAATCACCTCGTACACACTAATAACACTGAAACGAAATAAATACTAATTGTAATATCTTATCGATTACGTTCGAAGACGTTTGTTCGAATAATCGCTCGTACCACGCTATGTTTGTTATGGCCCAATGTTACTTGGCTAACCAATTGGAAGCTTCTTCGAGGACGAGAAGCTATCGAATTTGATACAACGCGTTTTGCCATTGGTTGTGGATTATTCGCAATGTTAATACACAGTGGCGCCATCTGCGCACATTTTCGAGGATGGAACTATTCTCGGTCTAATTCTAAAAACTTTACGTCGCGTTATCTTGGAAGTTTCACTTAAAATCGAAGAATATTTAAAAAATATAATTTCTCGTTTAATAACGGATGAACAATAAATCGCTCGACGAAAATTCGATCCAGACATGAAAAGAATCTTGAGTACCTGATTTACCGTAATAAAATCTCTGAATTTGAAAAAAGAAAGGAGAGAAAGAACTTATTTGCACACCTGATATAAACCTTTTATTTCGTATACGGGGAGTGCATAAACGAAAAACTCGAGGTCTCTATTGGTAACGGTATCTACTCTTTGAAGAACAAATGGAATCGGGTAAACACTATGAAGCAGAGCGATGGCATCTGTTGTCGTGTGTTAATAACGCGGCCCAATGTTCAACCTCGAAATCGAATTGAACGTGGAAGCACGCTTCATACGCTCTGAATAAACACGCACAGCCTACGCTGCCCGCGCTATGCGTAAATATTTCCATTGCATTCTAGCTTAAGCTTTTGAGCGTAAAGCATCCGAGGGAGGGGAGGAGGAGGAGGAGGAGGAGGAGTTTCTTGGCCGTCAGCCAAAAAGTCTATAACGATCTTTGCTACGACGTTTCGTTCGGGATGGAGGAATCCATGAATAATACGGCGGCGGAAGTTTTTCTAATTTCAATTTCGAGAGACGAGATTAGAATTATGAATCGCTTATTCGTTCGATTTGAATTTATTCCTCGAAATACGTTGATTTTTTGGATTATGTTTTTAATAATTTTGGGACGATGGCGAAAGAAATTCTCAGGTTCGAAAGAAAAGTGTCAAGTTCCAATATTTGTAAATTAATATTCCACGTCGCGTTAACAGGATTGTTTTTTCTCGTGCGGTTTTTGCGAGATTCGAACAATCAGATAACGAAAAACGAAAATGATAAAATATAAGAACGCGTGCTACTATTTTTATTTTCCTTCTGCAATTTATTTTACTTTATTCTATCGTTGCTGTTGTTGTTTCTCTCTCTTTTTTTTACGTAAATAGAGAACGAGAGAAATAGAAAAAGTGAAGTTGAAAAGCTATATACTCTTCCATCGAAATAATTCTAATAACATTTACATCTGATTCCAAAGAATCATCCGAAAAAACTTGAATATTCTCAAAATAACAACCCAACCTCGTATTCATCCTCGAAATAATCTTGGCGAAATATCATTCTCCTCCAACTTAAATAAAAGAGAAAGAAATGAAATTTCAATAAAATTGTTAGTAAAATTCGTAGTGACAAACTCGAAACGAAAATCTTTCCCCTTCAAACATTGTAAACAACGTGGAATCCGAGGGACTTGAATCGTTAATTCATCTCTCCGAGGCATCCCTCGTTCGCCAAGGCATTTTCACGCGTCGAGCACGGTTATTTCCATCGATGGATAGAGCCGTGGTAGAGTGGGCGGATCGAACAACGTCAGAGGCTGAGCGCTATCGCACGGTGAACGACGCTTTTCAACGCCATTATCTCGCAGTTGCACCTGACACATTCCATCTCGGCGGCGACATTGTCGGCCGGTAAACGAGATAACATCAAAAGCTGAACAACCGCGTTTATCAGCATTTGCTTTGATGCTTGGAGGCAACGGATTCGCCGAAAGGAGGACCGCTGTCAGGATTACGAGAGGGACTCGAATATTCTCGCTTTTTGCGATTGAATTAGCGATGAGTATTCGTTCAAGAAAAACAATCTTTTCGAAGTAATCTCTACAAATCTCTTCGAACAATTCCAATAGGAAAGCGGTTGTAAAAAGTTCACCTCTGACAACGGCAGATGTCTCTAATTCTGACTTCGAGAATGTAGAGGCACGAAATGCTTAAAAAGAAGAAAGAAAATTTTTTTAAAAAAGTATCACGCTTCGATTTTAGATGTCGCTGTTTGGAACCTGTTCACCAATGATAAATCATCATCAGTTTGAACCAGTCTTTCACTTTCACATTGCTCTCTTCGCTTTCAGATGTCGCTGCGTATCCACCTGGTCGGCCTGGAATCGAAACCAATTTGACAATGTTCGATCCAAATTTCCAATTTCGTGTTCCAATTTGGCGTCAGAAAGTATTGAGGAGTCACTCTTCAAGAGGAGGAAACGAAGTAATAATAAAATTTAAAAATCCTCGAATCATGGAGAGGCGTTACGTCCGTGATGAGCGTGGACTCATCTCTTCTTCCCTCCGTCATCGATTTTTCGACGGCGATATTTTCGACGCAAGCTCGTGACGGAAGCAACCATCAACAGGTTGCATTGCGACGCGAAACAAAGCGAAGGCACGAGAGCACGCTGCATTTACCGACTCCAGTATCTTGATGGGTGCATTAGCCTGCATCGACTGAAGAAGACCCAGGAATAAACTTGTTCGAGGCCGGATGAGAATTCAGGAAAGAAGCAATAAAAGAAAAACAACGAAAAGGAGAGATATGGACAGGGATGTCGCGTAAAAAAGAAATATTGAAAATTATTGCAACCAATTTTAAAGACACCGATGATTTATCACCGATAATAAAATTCACCTCTTTGCTTTGCCAATTAGTTACACCAATGAAATAAATACTTGCTCGGTGTCTAGCTCGATTTACGACGCGCAGTTAAAGTTATTTTCGAGGTAAGCTTTGTCGTACCGTGGAAATTTTCTAACAGAACCTTTCCACCATCGAGGAAACCACGCCACGATTCTTCGTGGACTTGCAAAAATTAATTTCTGGTCAACCCTTGACATTGGCCAATTATTGGAGAGAAAAAGAGTACACTTAGTTTTCTTTCGTGTTTTTGTCAAAATGCGTTAAGGAGATACACAAACAGAGAATAGAAAGAATGAACAACATCCTGCGCTGTTATTCGGAT